ACTAAACCAGAGTGATAAAGGCATATAGCTGTCCAGTTGGCCCAGAATATTTCAGAACCACCAACAATTGCTCTCTTGCAGAAGTCTTTTGTTCTCCATCACCAAAGCACTGCATTTATATATTTGAATATTTATTGCCTTTTACATGCTCCACTACTTCAAGATTATTCCTTAATTAAACTTCAATTTACATTTTCTTAATGTTATTTAGGGTGAATGTATCCCTTCTTCATTTGTCTTCATTTATAATTTAGTTTTATTTTATTTGTATTTGGGGGCTTGTGTTAGTAATTGTGTTTTCTCCCCTCTCAGGTTTCCTTTACTCTTCTGAGGCAGATTGTTCTCTTTTGATCTGTTTTACTTTAGTCTGCCTTTGCAAAAACCTCATCGTGAGTCACCAGGTGGTTAAAATGTGTTATTTTTTGTGGAAGAGAAAAGTGGACATTCATTGATTCTGTATGTCTCTGCAGTAAGCAAAGGTGACGCCGCCCCTCCAGAACAGGTTCCAGTGTTCTTGGAGGCTGAAGATGACACCTTTTAAGGCTTGAGTAGCTAGGATTTATGCCTATCTCATGCTATCAAGAACTGGTCCTTAGCCTGACAAAGAGGCAGCTAGCCGATAAGTAATTCTTTCATTTTTGCAATGACATTAGTCTCATCTGGATTCATTCATCCAGTTCAAGGACAAGGAGTGGTTGCAGAGGAAGTCCGTGGGAGGTGAATAGATAAATCTTTTCCAAGAGCAATGCAAGATTGCACCTTAACAGATTTTCTTCGGGAGGTTGTGATCTGCCTCATTATGAACAGGTTGGACAGACATCTCTCAGAGGTGATTAAGATGAAGTCAAAGGGTGAGAATGTAGACTTAAATGACCTCTGAAGAGTCCTCCAAGCTCTCTGTTTTTCATTTTTTGTAGTAGCTGGTGGAGACTCCTTAGATCCCAAACACCTCTGATGCTTAGATGCCTAGATAATTTTATGGATACACAGAAAACCAAGCTCCTTATATTATTAGGGTGCTTTGCTCCATTATTGTCTGATAAAAATACATTAATATTTCTGGGCACAGGTGCCCGGCTCTTCCGCAGAGTGCTATAGTCATGAAGCCCCAGAAGCTGGCCTCTTCCCCTTCTCTTGTTTCACCCCACAAATGTCTCCTGTGCTCTGGGCTGCACTGCAGCTCCACTTCGACAGGAGCACAGTGTTTCCATGCCAAACACCTTCTCGTCTGGCTGGCAGGAAGCTCTCCTGCTTGTGGGTTTGACCCCTGTGGCTGAGATGGGTCTGGAAGGCAGGTGTGTCAGACCAGAGCTCCAAAAGTTTTGCTCTGCTCTGAGAACTGGGAACTAGAAAATAATAACTATTTCTATTCGTGGTATTTACCTGATGGTAGTCTTGATTTGTGGTTGATATTCATGTGTCCTTCACACAGATCTCCCTTCCCTCCCTTGCTCCACAGTCAGAAAAAAACACGTTAGTTCTCAGTGTGCTTGGCCTTGCCAGAGGCTTGTCCTGTTGCTAGTGTTTGGGAATGTGAGTCTCATCATATCATTAGAGTAATGAACCAGTTTTCAAATCCCCTGATTTCTATTTCTGCTTGGCAGCTAATTGCATTATTAGGACAAGTCATGTAATATCAGCACTTCAGTTTTCTTAGCTAAGAAATGGGTAATACCTCACCCGGTGCTGCGGTAGGGCTAATTACACTTCTTGAAAATCAGAGTAATGAAAAGAGGGCCTCCAACAGAAGTGCTGTGAGAGGGGAGACACAGACAGGTTTCTGCAGCGTTGGGATTGCCAGTGGTTCCTTGCAGCAACCAGCTTGTAGCTTGGATGGCTGTTCTGCCCCGAGGCTCTCTTCAGCAAAGCCAGTGGAGGCAAAGCAATGCTTTCTCTTCACTCTGCATGGGAAGCAGCAGACCTGCAAATTCTTTCTGCTGGATGCAGAAAGATCACGCTGTATTCATTCCTTCTTTCCTACATACCCAAACAGTCACGCAGTGTACACACACAAGCAACTATGAAATCTGGCTCCTCATTTAAAAGCAGCACACAAATACATAACATTATTACCTATCTCCTTTAAACCAAATCAGTGCTGAGAAAGAAAAACAACCCTTTTGAAATAACGTGGAAAGCACATGAATTTACTGCTTGGCAGTGGTTTGGATTTTCAATAAAGGGGCTTTCATGGAAACTGGGACTGGGTTACCAGGAAGGTACTGGAAATACACACACCTCATTCCAGCATGTATAGCTCATAACTGCTTCAGTATAGAAGTGCCCTGCTAGTACTTAGTACTGATCATGCTCCCAGTAGGGCAGCTGGCATAGCTCAACACATGGCCATGCAGCCAAACTCTCTGTACCTACTCTGCTCTGTCCATGCTGCCTGCTGGGACCAGTTCCAGGCTCATGCGTCCTTTGAACCATGTTTAGGAACTGCTTGGAAGAGTTGTAGTTGGCACAGACCACAAGCACATTGGAGAGCGTGACAACTACTGTGTGGTAGCTGCCTGCTGGTGTTCAAGACTGTGCCCCATCCTGGTTTAGCTCACTCATTTAGACAGAACTGCTGGAAGGAGCCACTGGACCCGCCTGGGAACCCGGCCAGTGCATTTCTTGGGTCTGATTTGAGTTCAACGATGACTGAACCTGGTCCCGGGCCAGTCTCCAGAACTGGCGGGAAGAGGCAGGTCTGCAGCACAAGGCGTTAGCCAGGAAAGGCTGTAACACAGAAGGCAGGTCCCGGTGCTGCATCACAGCTTCCCTCCAGCCTCCCACATCCAGCACACGGGGCGGAAAGGCTGGGATGGAGCCATGCCACAGCACCGCACCGCAGTGCTGCTGGGGCAGGGGTGTCGAAAGATGTAACCCAAGCACCTTTGGGCCTTCCTCCCGCAGCCCCTCTCCATGAAACATCCACCTGCACACACGCACACAGGCTCAAACCCACCCAGACCTACAACTCTGTGTGCAGAGACTCACAGGCAGGCTTGTCGGGGGGGACCTCGGCTGAGCTGGAGACCTGCAAGGCACCCTAACTGTAACAGCAGCTGCTTTTGGTGGAAGAACGGGAACTGGAGATATAGGCAGGCTCCTTCCACTGGGAGCGGCTTTGTTGAGGCAGGTGGAGAAGGGCCTTGCACTAAAACTGGTGTCTGTGGGCTGTGCGGAACAGCAGCGTAGAAGTGAGGGTACGTACGTTGGTGTCTCCAAGATGTGTGCACTGGAAAGGGAGAGGAGAACTGTGGTTGCTCTGCAGATCCTCGCTGTGCTAGCAGCTCCCAGGCTTAGCATGTCCCTGCCATGGACTCCGGTTCTTAACCAGTAACCAGAAATACTTCTTGATTCATGCAGTCCACGTTTAACAGAAACATAAAAATAAATTTCAAGTCCCATACTGCACTTGTGAAAGTGTAATGGCTTGAACTGATTTTCAGCTTGAGTTTGGGTTCAGTGTGATTCATTAGGTTATAAATTATACAACTTGTCAGCAGTCCTTTTCCTCACCAGCTCTGCGGCAGCTCACTGGGGACACTGCTCCAGCCTTCAGCCGCTCTGCTAGGGAATAGGTTTTTACCTCCTGCAGGAGTTTCGCTTTGCTGCTCCTGCAGTAGATACCATCATCCAAATGGACTTCCTTCATGCAAGTGGCGGTGGGCTGTTCTTCTGCAGAAACTTTCAAGGAGACAAGTGTCACCCCATCCCAGAGTCTTCTGTTCCCCAGCATGCTAGTGGTGCTGAACCGGTGGCATCTCCTGTAAATGCAGATGTAGGGACAAGTTTTCCCCTGCAGTTTACTACACTGGCATTTCCTAATGAACTATAGCACTTCTGCGTGGTAAACAGAAGTCTCGCTGCTGACATGCTCTGCTTATGCTTAGTTCTTGGTACCAAAATACTAATTGCTAGACACCAGTTTTCTTCTAGGAAACATGTCAACACACATTTTGCACCTACAAATAAATGCTGACTGGTAGAAATAGCCATACCAAAGAGCACAAATAAACACCAGGAACTCTGTTTACAGTTAGCAAGTTTTTGTGTAAGCAACTATTTTAAATGTATGCTCTTAAATATTACATTTTGTGGTACAAATGGCTTTTCAGCTGTTGGAATCAGCTCCAGTTTCTCATTTCCAAATTTTTGAATATCCATTCCAGTGCCACTGGACAGTATTTCTCATGTAGTCTGCTAAGATTTCTCCTAGATGTTGTTAATTGCAATATTCTTTCTTGGCTGATATAAAAAGCATTTTAAGTTGTTTGTAACAGTGTCATTTACACAGAAAACACATTGAGTAAAAAATTGAGGTATTACTTATTTTGAAAAAAATGTATGCTTTTATCCCATCACTAGCCCACTTGCAGCCACATAATCTTTCTGACCAACACAGAAGACAATGCATCCTTGTTATAAGACATTAGGAACTGATGCTTTTATTAAGCTGACCTTGTTTTCCCCGCTTCAGAAGAATTTTGGTGGACTGCTACATGTAATCTTTGTGTTTGTTGCTTACACACCCTAAAACATAAGGCCTTTCTACCACTTTGCCATTAAGAGAGTTATAGCTGGACATTTGATTAAGAAAACTGATTAGAGAAGCTTGGTGATTGGAATATTATATCTGACATGAACATTCAAATAAAGAGAATGAATCTGTATTTGAAACCGATGGCAAACATCTCTTCTTGGTTCCCTCAGGTTATTTATGTACTGATATTGTGGTTTTGTGAGCTGTCTAGCTCAGCAAATGGCCAGGGTTTGACTTAGGCAGATTTGTGATTTCTTATATTTAAACATGTTACTTTTTAAACTATGTGGTTTTAATGAGAGGGAGAAGGACTTTTAGGTATTATTTTTCTAATAGGCCAAAATGTGAAGATACTGGCTGGGGACATGTGATGGTAGAGTCAAAGTAAATTGAGTAAACTGACTGAGTGGTATTTTAGACCATCATAGGAAAGGGAATTTAAAATATTTTATTCTGTTTGCAGGAATAGACAATCTCTATGAGAGGGCTCTTCACATCCGCAAACTCCTCCTTACTTTGCCCAGGTCGGTCCTTATAGTGATGAGATACCTCTTTGCCTTCCTCAACCAGTAAGTGCTTTATAATTCTCTGAGGTGCTGTACCTTTATCTGCCTTCCTCTGCTGGTATTGAAGTTCTTTGGGTTTACTCATACTCTGTGTAGAATTTGCATTTGAGCTCCATTTAACACAAAAGATGATCTTCTAATTGGCAATGGAAATAGAAGGAAAACACCAGTTTTCATTCAAATTAAAATTCAATTTGTCCAAAACTGAGCAAGGTTGTAATAAGACAGATTAAAGTGTTGTCTGAAGTGGGGAGTGCAGGCTACAGCATTAAAGCTGATAACAAAATAAGCTGATAAGAAAAATAACAACTACAAACTCTAACTACATTAAAAATAGTTTACATAATTTAAAAGTAGAATTTTTTTTTCCTTATCTCAAGCTGATTTTAATCTCCTGGTGGGAAAAATAAGCAGTATATTCAAGCAGCACAGGCACTACAAGCTACCTGTTTGATGCTAGGCACTGCCAGGGTGAGACTTTATATTGCTGCTTCTATTTTTTGGTAATAGGGTTACCAGTATAGAGAACATACATCCCCTGTGTGTGCTTTGATATAAAGTAGCTTGGTTCTCACATCGCAAAACACAGGCAGCTGCTGGAAGGAGGGTTGTGTGAGAAATGGAAAGTGGTGTTCATGTCTTCATCATCCCAGAAAAACTTCTTCATTCTCAAAGAGAAAATAAAAGACAGGTTGAGCAATTGCACTGTGTTTCTCTCTCCAGTCCTTCACAGTCCTCTGGTTTTGCTGACCCTAGTATTTTCACTGAAAATTTTGCTTCTTGTGCACTTTGCCCTGATTCTAGCTTTTCTCTTTCTGCTGCCATATTGTCTGTTTCCTGTTGTATCTGTTTTCATATTGCCTTTTTCCTCTTTTTTTCCTAAATTTGCCCTCTGCTGATTCATTCTGTCTCTGTGACCTTCCCCATCTCATTCATCCTGTCTGTTCCTATAGAAACAGGGTTCTTGCAGCCACATTATGTGTGCATGCCTGTATTCACAGCTGTTCCCGTTTCCTTTCTTCTAGTAATTTCTGAACCACTTTCAAGCAATATTTAAAAGAGGGGCAGAGATATAAAGTTTTATGAAAATAACCATTCATTTGAAACATAAATTAATCCTCCAGAAGTGACACTGTGTAAACGTCTCAAAGGCTTATATCACAGTTTCTCTTCTACTTAGACATACAGATTGACCAGAGCTACATGAGGTCGTACTTGTTACATGGTCATGTTAGCTACATCAGTGCTCTCCACAGGAAAGCAATTCAGAAAGCAGGCTAAATCCCTTACTGCCTCCAAATTGCTCCTGGTGCATCCACAGGAAAAACATTCCCAGTTTGTCTTTCTGCAAATCCAATTCTGCTTTTTACGTATGCAGTTATGCCTGCTTGGCCACATGAAGTTATCAGACCTCATGGCAGACCTCATCAGGTCTAGCCTCATGCTCAAAGATTCTAAAGTTACATCAAGTTGCTCAAGGCTTTGTCCAGTCAGGAACCTCAAAGGGCATAGAATCCACAGCCTCTCTGGGCAGTCAGTCCCAGCGCTTGGTCACCCTTATAGTGAAGAAGTTTTTTCCTTCTTCCAGTTGGAATATCCCTTGCTGTGACTTGTGTCTGTTGCCTCTCATCTCTTTGCTGTGCACCTGTGTCTGACTCTCTCATGTTTATAATTTTGATAGTAGAAGACTGCAGCTAGATTCTCCAGTAGCCTTCTCTTCTAAAGACTGAACAAACCCAGTTGTCTCCAGTTTATAACCCATATGCTCCAGCTCCCCAGCCATCTCAGTAGTCCTCTTCTGGACTTGCATCAGTTTCTGTCTCTCAAAGCTAGACATAGTACCTCATGTGCAGCTTCACAAGCACCAAGTAGAAGAGGAGTATTCGATTCCCTTAACCTGCTGGCTTTGCTCTTCCTAATATAGCCACATATGCAACTAGCCTTCTTTGTGGAAGGACGCGTTGCTGAATCATGTCCAACTTCTTGTCCAAGAAGTTCTTTTCCCAGTGCTTTTCCTTGGGAGCTGCTATCCAACGGTCAGCCCCAGACTGTGATAATATATGGGATTATTCCATGCCAAGGGCAGGACTTTACGTTCATCCTTGTTGAACTTGATGAAATCCTCGTTCATCCATTCCTCCATCTTGTCAAGGTCCTTCTAAATAATAACCCTGACCTCTAGAATATCTACTGCCCCAACCCAGCGTGGCATAATCTGTAAGCTGGCTGAGTGTGCACTCCATCCCATTGTCCAGGTCATTCATGAAGGTGTTGAACAGTATCAGCCCTAGTATGAGCCCTGAGGAGCACCACACATTACCAGCCACCAGCAGGACTTCACATCTTTTACAGTGATAGTTATAATCTTTTTTACATGTTCTTGCACACATACAAAGGCTGAACCACCTTATAAATCAGTAGAACAAGATGTCTCCAATTAACACACAGGACATGATAATAAATCATGGCATAAGAAAGGGGAAAGCATGATTAATTTTACAAGCTACTTATGAGGGGAGTCATTTAGAAGGTTTGCCTCTTCAGTTTGTATTGTTTGTACATGGAAAATACTCTCTAAAATTCCCTTTCTAAAGGGAATATGATGATGTATTTAAACACAACCAGACATAATAATTCATACACTGCTTCAGAGTGCAGAACAACACTGAGGTAAAGGGCATCCCAGCGCTTCAGGATCTATTTGTCTGGCCCTGCACAGAACACTCAAAAGCCAGCATTTCCACTAGAAATGTCAATGCTTTTAAACAAGGGAATAAATAGCAATTTTTCATTCAAAAGCAAAATTGAAAACTGGTAATGTTGCAGTTTCTGGAGGAAAGAAGAGCTTGCAAAACTTGATTAATAAGAACAACCAAAGCCTTTTGTTTGGACATTTCCAAAATGAAACCCTTGTGGGAGTTTGTGGGCAGAAGCCAAAGTGCTCAAGGATTTTAGGTCCTATGGTAAAAACAGAACCCAGAAATCACAAGAGCCTTTGCAAGGTCCAGGAACTTAGTTGCCCCCGGAAGACAATTCAGTCTGCCTAAGTTATATAGCCAGTTGATGGGAGAGATGCATCAAGGTCTGATGAGAAATGGTAGGTATATATACCCACTTTGGATCCAGTCCACTTGGGCCTCCAAGGATAAGCACTGATGAGACAGAAGCAGCAGCAGTTGATGCATTTTACATTAGCCCATTAGGTCAGCATACACTAAACACAACAGTGTGGGAACACATACATACATACATATATATATATATGTGCTATAAACTCACTTTATAATGTATATAGCCTATTGAAAAAAATCCCCTTTTTTGTTTTGTTACTTTATGTGGGATTAAGTGTCAAGGAGAACAAGAAATCTCTAAGTTGTGATGGAAAATAAAGTTTCTCCAGTTTTCAGAGTAAGGTTAGTCACAGTGGAAAAGTCAGTTTTTCTTGATTTTTCTGTTACAACAGCCTTTCACAGTACAGTGATGAAAACATGATGGATCCGTACAACCTGGCCATTTGTTTTGGGCCAACCCTGATGCCTGTTCCAGACATACAAGACCAGGTGTCTTGTCAGGCACACGTGAATGAGATAATCAAAACTATCATCATCCATCATGAGGCTATTTTTCCAGATGCTAAAGAACTTGATGGCCCAGTGTATGAAAAATGCATGGCTGGAGATGACTACTGGTAAGTCAGAATATCACCTTTCTATGTCCTGAACAAAATTATTAGGCTGACTGTCTGGATAACTCCTGTGATACAGAATTACTTTCGCACACAACAGAAGTATAAAGATAAATAAGAAGAGCATTTAGGTTCACATAGTAAAGTGACAGCTATAAAAAAACATGAAGCAAAGCCAATTATGGTGAGGTTCCCGACAACATTTTGTGGAGGAAGCTACCCTTGTGTCCAGCCAGATGCAGCCAGAATTCCAGCTGTACTGTGCAGAGCACACAGCCAGGTAGGAAGCTGGCTCTCTGGCTGTGAACCACCTTAACAAATTTCAGCGTATGATGCCTTCCCCCTGCTCCTTTCCTCTCTTAACAAGACACACACGTTTTTTATAAATGAAAGGATTCAGAGGTTCTGGGAATTTCTTAATAACTGAAGATGTTTGAAGGAGAGGTGTGTAGGCTTCTTCAGTAATTGTGTATTGTAGCACGTCATGAGAATTATGTTGCAGAAAGCTTTAAACATTATAAGAATAATTTTAAATAATCTCATGGGGGTGGCATATTTTTGATATGTATGGTTTCTCTCTCTGCTCGACCTTTTGTTTCCCTTCAGCGACAGCCCATACAGCGAACATGGTACATTGGAGGAAGTGGACCAGGACGCTAGTACAGAGCCCCACACCAGTGAAGACGGTACGTCTGTTACATTGCTGTGCCTTTGAAGGGAGTAAGTTTTCCAAGTGTCTCATGCAGGAGACCTTCTTCCTTTCCTAATTGTGTCTTACTTGAAAGAAGGGGATTTCAGTCCTGGTGTTCTGTAGCAAAGCTGGAATCTTTAATCTCTGTTTGTGTGCTTTTTCACTCTGATTCATCTGTGTTTGACCAGCTGTTTCCTTGTTCTCTCCTGATTTGCCCAGTCACAGGAAGGGCAAGAGAGAAACTATTTCAGTCAGCACATATTATTTTCTGATAGAATGCTACATTTTTAGTGACTTTTTATCTTTTGTCTGCAAAAGCTAAACTTATCAGAAGTGTGTCTTTAAATATTTCAGCTAAGGGATATTTGCCATTCAGTGGGCTCTATTTTGATATGAATTTAAAAGCTGTTCCATCTGAAGGATTTATAACTACTGAAAAACTTGTGTGCATCCCCCACAGTGAAACTTCAGAACAATAGTCATTTGCTGTAAATATTAATCATGTATACTTTGACAGTTCTGGGTACGATAGATATGCAGGAAAAATTTGATGCATCTCTATTATATCAATTCTTTTTAGCCAGGTTTCCTAAAGGTGTATTTGACTGTGACATATTTCAGCTGGACCATCCTTCAGATGTCCCTCCCAGTAACTTCTGCCCAGTTTCAAGCAAATGTAACAGATGGAAAGAGGTGTCAAAATTGTTAAATAACTAACATTTTCCTGACAATTAGTAACCAGTTAGAGGTGAAGGATTCAGAATAAGACTCCCTGTAGAGAAAAGCTGAAGTGTGAGCTCACTGCATATCTGGCCACCAGGCAACCCAGACAGAGCAACCAGCACATGTGCACTTAGCACTAGCAGAAACAAAAGCTGCCCCTTGTCCATCTCAGAGGATGCATGGAAGGCGGACGAGGAAGAGACAGAGAGGGGGAAAAGGGAGGAAAAGAGCTACAGAAGAGAAGGAAATTTTTTTTTCTTTTTAAAAGAATGTCATAAGGGATACTGGTTAGGAGCTGGGACAGTTGCCATAGGGAAGAGGAACAGGAAGGTGTATCTATAGGAAACCTGGCTACACTGGTCCCATTACACACAGAACAATGTAAGCAATGGTTCCACTCTAGCTGTACCCATCCGCTTTGTCACGTAGACAAGCTGTCAGTGACAGATTGCCTGTCTCTTCCCCTTTGCCGTGGTGAGGGGGGGCAGGCAGAGTCTCTCAATGCAGCTGTTTGGGGAGAAGGGACAGTTGGGTGGGCAGGCATCACAGAAGGGGGAAAAACTGAGGATGGGAGAGAAGTCAACGTTAATCTTCTGCCTGGGGTGTATACCCATGCCTGCACCCGCAGCAGGGAATACTGACAGTTTTACAAGACAGCCTGTACATGGGTTCCACTTGAGCAGCTCTGTAGAGCTAAACCCACTGTCTTTCTACAACACAGCTCTGCTAAATGGTGTGAACAGACTCATAATTGCATTTTATTTTTCCAAGATGGTATAGCCATACTTTATAAGAGCTCCTTTTTCCATTGGAGGTATGAAGCAAGAGTGGAAGCTGAAGAAGTCTGTCTGTCTCATTTAGAGCACAAGTGAAGTAGTGAAATGCAGGTGACACACCAGTTCAACATATTGGGGCCAACTTTGGGGTCCCATGACCAAACTGAAATATAAAGGCCCGAGTGGGCATGGAGAAGAAGTGCAGCTTTTCAGCACCAATCAAAAGCAGTCACTTGAAAACCATGCCTAGGAAAAGATAAAACATCAGCAGGATCCAGAGGAGCAGGACCAAGGCATCGTATAATGTGCCTCAATAATCATGGGCTCTACGCCACCACTGTGTTGTTATAATAACAGTTCCTGTTGAGGTGCTACCCGTGTTATGACTCTGTCACTGGTGAAGATAAACACTGAAGAGAATAGCTATCAACAGGACAGAGTTCTGTTAAAAGATTTAACTGCTCAAGACGTGGTTTTTTGATCACCAGATTGGTCAGCAATTTAATTCTAGTTGCCCCATCGCACCTTTTTAATTAATTCAGTGCCAAAAGGAAGTGGACATTTGTGTTTACAGTGAAATAATTGTTAGCACAAAAATATTTGTAATCTAGGGAAATACTGCTGCAAAGTTAAAGATTAGCAAGCCTGGATCGCACACAGCACAGTGTTGGTCTTCGGTTCCCAGCCTGCAAGCTCTAACCCATTTTTTTCCATGGATACAGCTTTCCACTATAATAGCACATTTTTCTAATGTAGGTTACAGGCTTTAAATTCAATGCATTCACCATCTCTTTGCACATACATTCATGTGTTTGTCCTTTGGACAATTCCTTTTAAAAAATTTTCTTGACACCAGATGTGAATAGATGAGAATTTTTCAGTTTGCAGATTGAACTTCATGAGAGTCACTGATTGACCTGTGGTGGACAAAAAGAAAGCTTCTGCTAAAGGGTCTGGAGTATTTGGGGGGGGGGGGGGTTTAATATGATTGATTCATTGATTATAAGCTGGATGCATCACTGCCAGCTGTGTGTGCAGAGAAAGGGAGGCACAGCATTGCTGCTGTATTGATCAGACACATGATACTTATGTATTTCCCTGTTAGAACATGGAAGAAGCAGATTCTATGAAGGGGGGAGGGGTGTATGTTTAAAATCTGATTAGTTTTACACTAAAATGTTGTATACATACAGAAGACCAAGCAGCTAACCCCATGGGCATTACAGGGTTATTGAAACATAATCCAGAGGCTGTGATCAAAAGCAAAAGGCTTTATTTTTCCACTTTAGTTATTGTTGTTATAAGAATTACTTGCTGTATAAAGTTAAACTGCAAGTGAATCTCTCTGTGCCTACTAGAATAAACCCATCTGTAGGGGCCGGCGCAGTAGCACTAGGAATGTTTAACTACAATTTAGAAAACAACCGGACTTTTTAAAACTTGAAAATTAAATTATGTCTGCAGAGGTAAAGTCTGGTAGCTTTGGAAAAAGAAGGCTGGAACTTATAATTGAGCATATAAATACTTCATAACTCCTTAATTTTAAGCATATAAGTTGCCTTCTTTTTCCTAAGCTTACTGGTGTTCATGTTTTTCTGTTGATCGCTGGAAAGAGAAGAGGGAAGGAGAGGGAGATGCATTTTACTGTAGTGTTTTCACTTTTTTAAATGTGCAGAAAGTATCCCTGTTAAGGAAAACACATAAGTTTCTTTTTTCTCCTAAATCTGGAAATTAAATTTAATTTGTGAAGTTCAGAACATTTGTAATCAAGCTGAGACACAAAAAAACCCTATCTGTAATTTTGCTGCAGAAGAACATTTACCTGAAAGTGCCTCTCCAGTAAAATTCAAAGGATATTGTTCATGGTTTGCTGAAGCAGTTTTTAGCATATATCCTTTACCTTCAGTTTACTGGAGATTTTTTTATTCTTGTTGGAAGCATATGGAAAAGGGTGAGTAGGTTTGTTTTCAAAGGAAGTAAGAGAATTTCCTGAGGAAGTTAAACAGATGGGTTTCTCCTGGGAAAACATACATACAATTAATATCATACTGTTAGATTTCTCATAGTGTAAAAATTGAGATGGCAGTTCTGCTTGAAAGAAAAATTACAGGGACATGTAAGACACTAAGTTATTGTTGGGTCCCCGACACATAGTAATTTTCCTGCTTTTCAGTAGTGCATGCTGTGATCGATGTTTTGCCAGATTCTGTTCTGTCAACACCTTGCAACATTTCTTTGCTTTTGCTGTTCCCCAGTCAGAGAACTGCTGTTCTGAGGACAGGACTTTGAAATAGCAAAGCTGCTGTTCTCTGATGGGGTGCAGAAGAGGATAAAGACATCGGGAGATAGCGTCTTCCCAGGGAGTTCAAGGACATACTCTATTCCCTACAGCCAGGGTACATCTGGGAGAACTGAGGCAGAGCCGAGCAAAACCCCAGCAACGCCCCCCCCCCCCCCCCCAAAAAATGCAGGGCTTGGTCTCCCCTCTTTTCCTTAGCTTGTGCCCTGAAGTGTAGAGGACAATGCAGTGCCACTTCAGTGCCATCACCTCTGCAGGCGGGTTAGTACTACATCTAGCACTCCAATCCCAAAATTAAAATAGCACTTATGTTTCTTCTGTCCTTTCTGCTCTTCCAAGTAGCAGAAGCTTTTCCCACAGTTCTTCAGTTTGTCCTAATTTTTCACTTCCATAGCATTGCCTGAGTCACTAGAGATGATAGCTGGTGAGATCCTATATGTCATCAAATACTTCTTGCTGTTGTAGGCAAATGCCCCCAGGTATGGACAGAGCTGTGCAATTACATTTCCCTCCGAGCTGTCAGTTTGACTGTTAGACATTCAGTACCACACAGAATTTGAGTTACAGATCCCAAATTTAGCTTTCATCACCTTTGCTTTTTTGGAAAAGGTTCTCTGTCATTCAGTAACCTTGATATTAAATGGCTTAACTTTACAAAATGCATTTATTTCTAGGAGTAACTGTCATGGTACTTTGGTTTTAACTATTAAGGCTTGACCCGTAACAAGGTGAATTACTATTTAAGTACAGTCTCAGTACTGTTTGCTGTAGGAAAGTTGTCTCTGTATAAAAGCAACATTCAAGAAAGAATATGCCCCTTTCAAAATAGTAAAACCTGTCTGAACTTATTTTTGGTTCTATTAAGAAAACTGTGTGGGATCTACTGGGCACTTCTCCCTGAGGAGGTGGGATTTGTTATCCAGGCAATCTAACGAACGTGTCTCAAAAGTCACATCCCTTATGGGTACATTACCAATTTGTACAGCTGGTTCCAGTGGGGCAACTTCCTTCAGACCTCTGAGAAAGTATGTGAGTCTTGCAGGCGACGGAAGGGTACAAAAACCAGATTTCCATCGTGCACCACACTTGGATTAGTGTAATTCCACTGAGGGAGATAGAACTATTTCTAGTTTAGTCCATTAATTTGTAAATAAAAAGACCTGTATACTCAAATGTGGGATACTGTATGGTCAATATACTACAGTATGTTGAAATTAGCAGAGAAACAGGAAATCCCATAGCTAATCAGTGTAGGGGTTTATCAATCAATCCAGTACCCGTGACCGTTATCAGTTAACTTCAGAGAATGTCAAAGGAAAACATGTACAGGAAATTTGGGATTTTCTTACTTGCTCTAAAGGTTTTTTTTGTTGGTTGGGGTTTTTTGCATTTTAAAGTATTACCTATTAGTGAGTGACTGGCTGTCTGAAACCTGGGAGCTTTTGTTTCTGAATTCTTGACCCACTTTTCCATAACCCATAACTTACTGACAATCTGAGAACAGTGTGTTCATACAAACGTCTTCTCCTTTTCAATCCTACCTGTTCCCAGTAATACCTTCTTATAACAAATTCCACAAGCAACGTGCGTGATATGTGTAAAAACAGCATTCTTTTGTCAGTGTTACATTATTGCCATTTGATTTAATATTGCCCTCTTAAACACAGTGCAAGATAAACAGGCATGTTTAGTTTTATTTCTTTTCATTTGGCAATAGTGTCTTTCCATGCCTATAGTTGCTTTGTCATATGTGTACTTTCTGTTAGAGAGAGACTGTAGGGAGAGTATCTAGAAATGAAAACAAGATTGTATATTGGAATATACACACCAGCATTAAAGGTTTCCCAGTTTTCCTGAATGTTTCCTTCCATGTCATCTTTACATTTTCTTTGCTTAAAAACATAAAACTAAGAAACTTGTCACCCCCACCCACCCACCAGGGAATGCCTGCCAGTGAGCCATCCAGTAGGGATGCATTTTCAGGAATTAATACTGTTATTGCTAAATTTTTATTTGCGTTTATATAATTGAAGTAATTTCTGCCAGCGTACATTACTTTTGCATTTGTAACAGTGAATTCCCCATACCACTGTATGCCATCTCTGGAAAGTTTCCGAGTTCGTAACTCCTAAACTCTCTGCAGTTTGTCACTGACAGGAGGTCTTAGTGTGACTGCAGAGACAGCAAACCACAGGACAGCCTTCTGCAGGCTGGGCAAGTTATTAAAAAAACAAGCTGCAAACTATAACTTCAGTAAAGGTGCTATCATTATGTTTTTCTGCTGCAGGATGAAGTTAATTTTAAAAAGACATTCCTGTGCAAAATGTTGTTATAAAGGGACAGTGGCTTTTATTATCAGCCTGGTTCTTTGGGGAATTACAACCTCAGCGATTTTAATTTGCACCAGACAGAAAGTTGCTATGCTAGTCATTAGCGCAGGTGTTAATTTCCATCTAAACGTTGCTCTAATTATGTAAAGAAATTTGTCATTTCAGGGACTCTGAGTTATTGGTATCAACAAAGTGTGTGATTGTTAAACCTGTATTTTGCAGGTTTGTCTTTATGTTTTGAGACTGTGATGACAAATTTTAATCTGTTTGAGCTCAGGTGCTTTTTGTTTTGTGCAGCAGAAACTGGATGTTGTTAAAATCATAGCTGTTTCACTGATGTCTGGGCACAGCTCTGAAGATGCCGGCAGGCAGACACTCAGCAGAGGCCCTTCACTGACATCAGTCAGTTTCTGACCCAAGCATGGGTTACAGGATGGAGTCCATTACCAGTGTAAGGCTGAATTTACCAGCATACTGACAGAAGATCAGCCAGGACTGCTGTAACCAATGTTTGACTTCAGAAAACACCAGCCTCCCCTGCAGAAACCGGAGGAACCCGGGATGTTGGAGCAGGCAGAGCTGCCTTAGGCGACTTCAGGCCACACAGGGACTGCCCCTGGGGAGGAGAATTAGGCGGTCTGGAGCCATCTGCGTGACTCAAAAAGGGTGTTGTGGAAGGAGATTAAAGCACTAGGTTTCGGTGTTGTGTAAAACACTAGGTTTTCACTAGGTCTGCACACGCGTCATGTAAAAGACAGAAATCTCGTAGTCCAATTAGGCAGAGTATCCCTACTCAAGCCCAGGGAAATCCTGTCTTCCTCCCTTTGCCTCTGCAGATGTCAAAGGCACTCCCGTTTACTTTTCCTTTATCACACTGGTTCTCGGGCCTCTGATTATTCCTCTGAGTTTGTTCATCTTGCTTTCGGAGGTCTTCATTGCCTGACCTCCATCCCACACCGCAGCCATGAAGGAGCCCTTGCAGCAGGAGGCAGAGGCCTCTCTCCCAGCAGCAGCTCTTGTAACATTTGAATATACCGTTATGTTTTCTGCAGCTTGCGAAGATGTTTCATACCCAGGGCACGGATTGATTATTCTTTGTAAGGGATGTATTACAGCTACTGCCTAAAGTCTGCCTTAGCTCAGCTGATCTCTGTCAGCTCTGCTCAATAAGAATGAGCACTGAGAAAATGCGATAAATGAGTTTTATGGAACCAAAATGAGCAGATAAGCCAGGGCGGAATCTGATATCTGTTCTTTCCTCCCTACCCAGAGTGCGAGCCCATAGAAGCTATAGCCAAGTTTGACTACATTGGAAGATCTGCACGAGAACTCTCTTTCAAGAAAGGAGCTTCCCTTCTGCTCTATCACCGAGCATCTGAAGACTGGTGGGAAGGAAGGCACAACGGAATTGATGGCCTTGTCCCTCACCAGTACATAGTGGTGCAGGATATGTAAGCAGTGTCTGGTGTGACTAGGTTCTTTGTGGGGTGTAAAAACATGCTGAAGCAATTAACAAAGTGATTTCCAAATGGGACACTGGTTTGAAAGCTCAGATAGATTAAACATTTGCCTTCTGTGCAGGATGCCTCTGTCTTTATCGCCTGAATTGACAGCTCTTAATCAAAAGCTACTACTAGGCTAAGCTACTTTGTTTATGGTTATGTTCCCAGTACATTAAGAGACAGATGCTGCTGCACCTATTTTAATTTGACTATCTCTTTGTAGCAATTGCTGACATTTAACTTCACAATAGCAAGGGCTGGAGAAATGCAGCCCTGAACTCTTGTTTCACAGTATTAAGCATGTGCTTTGCCAAGGATGACAAAGTTCTTCACAGAAAGGTTGCACTCGAAATTTAAAGAGCTCAGTAAACAGAAGGATTGTAAGCAATTTTTTGAGACATGGAGGGGCTCCAGTGCATTATAATATGCCTGCTTTTCTTAAGGGGATTAAAATCTGGGAGTGCCAAGATGCTGTCTGTCACATTTAACTCACTGACTGCTTATCTCACCATGTGTGTTCTGTTCAGGGATGACACTTTCTCAGATACACTGAGCCAAAAAGCAGACAGTGAGGCCAGCAGCGGACCCATAACTGAGGACAAGTCATCATCCAAGGACATGAACTCTCCCACTGACCGTCACTCTGACGTGTACTTAGGAAGGTACGCTTGAGCATAACGTGTTTCCAGTAGTACTGCTCACAGCTTGGCTAACACAGCAATTACGTCTCCATGTGCTGATGGTGGGTCACTACAACTTGTCCCATAACCACTTCTTTGTTGGTGCAGGCAAAGAAAGAGATCAGAACCTCCACCTCCTCTAAGACGCCCTGGCAGGAGCAGTGATGGTCACTGCCCAGTACATCCACCTCACCCTCTCTCCAACTCATCCGTGGATCTAGGTTCCCCCAACCTGGCAACTCACTGCAGTCCCAGAGCCCTCCTTCAAAATCGCAACCTCAATGCTGACAGCCCTGAAAGGCGGCGTAGACCCGGACATGGCAGTCTCACTAACATCAGTAGGCACGATTCTCTAAAGAAGATTGATAGCCCTCCAATTAGAAGATCTACATCATCTGGTCAGTATACAGGTTTCAATGACCATAAACCACTGGACCCAGAGTCAATAGCTCAGGTTTGTGTCTTTTTTATTTTATGTCACTCTCTGATTTTCTGAGGAGCAAGTCTCAGTGAATAGCATAGCACAGAGTACATACACTGGTCGGAGTGTCTGTGCAGAATATCCTACTTAGCTTTCTAAACAGAGTGTGTGTGAAAGAAGATGCATTAAGGGATCCTGGATAGAAGAAGCACAAGGGGGAACAGACATTGCAGAAGCAATAAAAAGAAATTATTTCCCGTTATACTGTAATGAAGTTGCCTCTGCCACACAGAACACTAGGATAGTATATGATTACAACAGCTACGTAAATCGCTGTGCTCTGATGAAGGCTGGTCTATTCTAACTTGCGTGTAAGTAGTGTTCAATTATTTCTCAGTATTATGATATGCAGAAAAGTCCTCTGGCTAGTAGCGACCATTGCCATTCAAAGCACAGATTTACATTCCAGGGTCTTGTGGATTTTACGTAGTTTTCATATAGTTCATATATAATTCATATTGTATGTTGATTTGATGCTTGTAGTTGTGCCTAAGAACATAATGTGCAAGACATTGCACCTGCATTAAATCGTGGCCCTTCTTATCCCTGTGTGAACAATCACCAGTCTCATTACTGGCAGTGAAGAGGTGAGAAGGATGGAATAGGGAGCACCCTGATCATCAAATTGGTCTGTTGTACAGAGCTGGTAACAGCTCTTGAGCAAATAGATATCGCTGTCTTCAGAACTCATGTCTTGTCCAGGTAGGATAACATGATTACTAGGAGCACCCTGAGGGTACAATATGATTGCAAAAGTATTTTACAGTAACGCTGGCACTCCTGTTTAAAAATTTAATGTACTGGTAATGCTTGCTTTCAAACTTAGCTTCCAGCGGAGATAGAAGGGACTGTCATGCTTGGGTCAGAAAGCTGAACCATGTATTAAGAGTTAGAAGGTCTAAGTGTTGTTACTGTTTTATTTTACTCCAAGTTATTTATTTACTTTCCTGGAACCACATACAGTGCTGTTTGTCTTAAGCTATTTTTTTTATGCCTAGGCTAGTGATCATTCAGCAGTGAAAACCCAAACTTCGATTAAATTACATTAAAGTCACTGTAAGCACCAGATATTTTAACCTTAGTTGTATCTCAATACCACTGAAAAGTAGTAAACTAGTGTCTTGGTGCATTCTTTTAGCATTTGTGCCAGAAATCCTGATGAAAAAAATAATGTCTTACATAAGCTCACTGAACAATATCTTGCAGTTTCTTCTGCTCAAGATTTAACTTGGAGAAACAAGAGGAGAGAAGAGCTGATAGACACACAAGCTTTATTTCCTTACAAAACCAGGTTTTATAATTTGTGTGAGGGAATGCAGATCCCGAACACCTGAGGCACTGGATGAAGGGAGCAGTTAGCTAAGAGTTCGCAAATGGACTAAAATCTTTACAGCTGTCAGTACCCAAGAGATGACAGAAATCTTCACAGTCAAAATCACTGCTAAGCAAATGTCCATTGTCCTGACAGTTACTTAATAAAATGGCTTGCAGGTTTTGGTTTAACTGACTTTTTTGATTCCATCCTGTAAACAGGTTAAATATTTGTAATGTTCAGCCAAAGCTGCCATCTTGTCAGTCATAGTGTCTTTCAAATAAATCTGGTGCAAACTGGTTTTAGCACTATGATATTCATCAAAGAGAGGATGGTTGGCAAATTAATTCATGCATTTTTTGCCCCCCTCCCCTTGCTCCTTCGGTGCTTTGCATTCAGTAGCAATTCGAATGATGTGCCGCTGTCTCTGTGCTCTGACCCAGGACATCGAGGAGACAATGAACACAGCACTGAACGAGCTCCGTGAGCTGGAGCGGCAGAGCTCGGCGAAGCATGCCCCTGACGTCGTGTTGGACACCTTGGAACAAATGAAAAACACCCCCACGCCTGCCACCTCCACAGAGTCGCTCAGCCCTCTCCACAGCGTCGTTTTAAGGAGCTCCGAGCCTCAGATCCGCCGTAGCACTAGTTCTTCCAGTGACACCATGAGTACTTTCAAGCCCATGGTGGCCCCTAGAATGGGAGTGCAGCTGAAACCTCCTGCTCTTAGGCCAAAACCTATTGTTCTTCCAAAAACAAATCCTAGCATAGGGCCTTCCCCTCCTTCCCAGGGTCCAGCTGACAAATCTTGCACAATGTAGACAGCTCGGCCACCCACAGTGCCCGGCTGGGGTATGCTAGGGAAAGGGATGGATTAACGATAGAAGTCAGGGCTCCATAACATCGTTTGTTCATGTTTGTAACTGGAGAGCCTTTGTTTTTCAGTGTTTTTGAATGTATTGTCTGAAACTAGCTACATTAACATGGGCATTTGTATTTTGTATGGTTTCAATTAAAAGACAAACTGGACAATTGTGCATCATTTTAAAAAACAAACATAGACTTACTTGAAAACCTGATGCTGCACCATTTGTAATAAAAACAGCACGGATCACAAACAGCTTGCCATGTTGTACCATACTTCACAGTCTTACTGTAGCTATATAATAAGAGATCCTGCACAAAACTAAGGGGCGGGAGGGTCAGGGGAGGTGGGACCTCTCATTTCTGGGTCACCAAACCAAATTTCAAGCAGGTTAGTGAGAGCTGAAATCTAGCACGTGAGGATTAAGTGTCTGTGTGGAATATCTAAGTCATCTCGGGCCACATTTCTTATTTAAGACACACCAGAAAAAAAAAACCCAAACCACCAAACCCTCACAAGTCTCATAATTGGCACCAAGTTTTAGCTTTCTTGTTGGCAGTCTCACTAGAGACAAGCGCGGGATGGATCTGGAGATCACATTGCTCTCACCGATAAAAAGCAGCATTCCAGGTCACAGCTAAAGCACATCTCCAGGATAGTATCTAGAAACTCCTTTTGCTGCCCTCTGTAATAGTGTACATTTTCCCATGAAGCTAGACTTTCATTCCCTGATACCACGTTGTTCACAAAAGCTAAATTCATTTGAAGTTCATAGTCGAGCGAGCCAGGCTTTGGGGAGTACGTGAACCTGTTGGTCCATTAGGCAGGCTGATAGGCGATTAAAAGGATCAACTACACAGTAATTCAGCAAAGTATCCCATTGACTTTATTGCTCAGTGTCCAATTAAAGACATGATTTGAGTTGTAATAGTCAAAGTTTCAAGCTGAGCTAGCTCCGCTCGCTGCCTTGCACAGCACAAACACTGCGCACGTCCTCGGTTATGCTGACAGCAGCAAGACCGGGACGCTCTGAAGAGGGACTACCTCCTGCCAGCGATGCTGGGGTCACTCACAGGACAGACAGCTGAGTTTCTACAGCCTAGATTCAAGCTGACTAAAGTTTTCCATCACCACTTTCCCCCCCTCCCCCTTTTCTTTAAATGATAGAAGTCAGTACCTTTCTTATGTCTGTGTGAGTGACGACCGTCCACTTTGCTTAGCGCTCTGTTGTTAAACTTTGTTAGGCGTGAACTAAACATATAGCTGTTTTGCACATTGCAACAGTAAGCCATAATATTATTTCTGTGAATATATTTTCTGACATCCAATCCATAAAACAAGTTTCAGTGAAAAAGACAGGGAAAAAAAAATCTGTTGTGGTCCACCTACAGGAGTACAACTGTAAAATCTGTCTTTCCACGTATTATTTAAGATCTCTCCCCTTGAAAGATTGAAGTTGTATCGCTCGCTATACATAAGCAATTGAGTTTGGGAGGAAAAGAGTAGTGACAAAATTTGATAGGCATAATTACTGAGGTGACAGGAGCGATTTCCTGTTGTTACTTAGGAGCGACTTATTCCTGCTCTGGTTTACACCCTGTACATAGGTAATGCAAAGCCCCAGGTGTGTAAAGTACCCCAAGAACTGCCTCTGAGAGCCAAACTGCTCCCGGTATTTGCAAACCCATCTCAGTCCAGCCGCAGACTTCACGCACGTCTAGGTTAGAGGCAAAGTCTTAATCCCCCACAGCGGACTGTGCAGCATCAGTCAGTGAACCTCCGGCCCTCTCGACTGAACTGCCTAGTCCTAACGCCAGGGCAAGAGCCTACACCAGGCCAGCCCCAGCTACAGCCCCACGCTGGTCTGTAGAGTCTGTCCACTGGGTCGGGACCAGAAGATAGTTTCAAGTAGTTCCCCAGTTTCCTAGAATCAGTGGAACAAACTGGAATTTCAGCTTTCATTTACATGCAGTTTTAGTCTAGCATTTTTAAATTAACCCACCTGGCATAATTGAGATGGATACCTGTATCTTTAAATTGCATAGGGAATTTTGTATGTTTAAATAACTGTACTGGACTCCATAATGCTTATATTAGAAATTGTTTAGCAAAAGAAAATATTAGAAACAGTGCATTTAGTGAATGCATCCATTTAGTGCATTCACACAGTTAAATGTGTAGTTTGATGGTTATTATAGATACTTAAAAGTATAGTAAGTGGATATGTAACAGGAAAGACCGCTACAACTACAGACATACTAAAGGGTAACTCCTGCACACCTAATCCAATCAGTATTGTCCTTTACTGTTAAGTTTGATAAATTGCAGTACTGGTAGCTTCCTGCTTGTTGACTGTTACCTAATTGTGTCAATGTACATCTGTAGTATGTACATGTGAAAGTGCCTTTAAATTTTAGAGGAGCTTTAGCCTTGCTCTTGTACTGTTGCATTTCCATTGCATCCTTCCCTGTTTGTGTATGGCTGCATTCCCATTGCATTCCTTCCACTCTCGAAGAACAAATAAAAACATGAAAATTTCACAGTTCTGGAAGAGAAATGTACTGTTAATCTGTTGTGACAATGCACTTTTATGTATAGTACTGTACATTTTTGGCATGTACCATTACAAGCTTCAGTATACATTCGGGTTTGTTCCTCGTAGTGTACCTTTATAATAAAGACGATAGTTCTGTCTGTGTGTGTGTAGTTTTGCTGGGTAAACCGCCATATCTTCTAACATGGATTGCCAATCTACCTTCCACATAAAGGGAAAACAATCAGAATCCCCCAGCCACCCACATCCCACCCTGCATCATGTCCTGTGACCGTCTTGGCCTGAAGAAGTGCTTGTTCGCGGAAGGCTCCTTCCTAACTTAAAGACCGCCATCCCCATAAGCTTGCCCCAGTTTCTCCGAACCTGAAGACCCCCCACAAAGAGCCACCAACCTCGCACGGTTCTGCCTGAGCATCCATAGAGGGCGGCCAACCCCGCTTCCGCTGGCTGCGGGACTCCCCCATCACCCATTCGGCCAGCACCCTGCCACCACCCTCCCACTCCCCGCAGGAAAAAAATTAGGTGAAAAAGACCACTCCAGCTTCCACAGTTTAAAAATACAGTCCCAGAGTGAAAAGAAAGTCTATCTGGGGCCATTTCTTGCAGCAGAAAAAGGGATGCCATCATGCTGGGGAGGAGTGCCGCAGGTGAAGTTTATCTTCAGTGACCTTCTGTCGAGGAGGTGGTGGCAATACACATGCCTCTGCGGCTGGCTCCAAGAACTGGGGGGCTGCAAGCGTCGGGCTGGTGGCTGTACGAGAGACCTTCAGCCACAGATCAGACACTGTTGAGGATGATTCCTGGGCTTGGACTGTGGCTGCCCAAACAGGCCTGCCATGCTGCCCAACTTACCCAGGTTTAGGGGGAGAAGAGTTACGTGGGGACGCATTTCCAATCCTTGCTTAAAAAATAAGAAGGGCAGGAGCCACAGCTGAAGGCCCCAGTTTTAAAGTCACCACTGGTTGTGGTCAAGGACTACCATCTGCCCGGAGGAGAAGCAGGGGACAGATGTCGGGCCGTGCAGGGCGGTATGGGGGGCAGGCACGCTGCCCACCCCGGCTCAGAGCAGGGCTTTCGTTCTTCACGCTGGGAAAGAGGCCGTAACGCAACTGTTCATTAGCGGGCTCATCGATCAGCCCATGGTGGCAGCCTTTGTATTGCAGTGTCCAGTGACCTACTTTGGGTATTTCTTCTTGTCCCCCACTGCACAAAAGCCAGCTAAGAAATTCAGGCAGGGATGGCAAAGGTCTTCCCTTACTCAGGGTCCTGCACAGCCCAGAGGATGTGTAACCCAGTTTCCACAGACAGCCAGCATGCTGGTGGAGAGAGGCTTCTGTGGCAGCTTTCAATCTGTTTTAAAATAACTTAAGAAAACACAAGAAGAAGAGTCTCCTCCTGTTGTGTAACATGAAGTTTTGGTATTGCACTGTGCTGACTTAGCTTGCTTCCAGGTTTTGTAGAGGAAAAAAGCCCAGGTCTCACAGAGACAGCCAAAGGTTTTGGCAGGTGACTAGGGAGCCGCTGAGTTTACTGGCACTCAGAAAAGCAAAGGGGATGATGAGTTGTTTTGCTGAGAGAAGTGTATTAATGGGACGGACAATGAGCAGCAGTGGCAGTGGGGCATTTAGCTCTTGGGTCACCACTGAAAATCACTGTTTGAAGCCACATGCAGCTCCAGGACACGGCACTGCCCTGGCCTGCACAAACACCTCCTCAGCTATTATAAGGAAACAGCAGAGGCTCAGCCTGCGTTTTAAGTTCTCCTTGGTAAAGACGCATGGTTTGTTACTCACTCTGCAGCTTACAGAGACCTACCCTGCCTGGAGGGATCCACAGGTCACTCTGTTCAATCACTGCTACCCCACGGGACGAGCCTTGGTGTTAGTCTTGATGGTACTGATACACGGGGAACAACAGAAACCAGCCAGAGTATTAACTAGTGATGGTAGAGGATGAAAGTACCATTCTTCCAGGTAGCAATACTATTTTTTCCATTAGCTTGGCTCTTTGGGGGTGGGGGGGACAAACCCTTTAACATATGAAAAGCCAAACAAATCAACAATTTAGCACCTTAAAATCCAGCTAGCTAACACAGCTCAATTACTGTTAAAGGAAAAAATTTAAAAACAACCGCTAGTTTAGACATGCCACTGTAACGCAACTACTCCCTTGCAGTTTTCTGCAAGGGTGTTTGCAGATCATGCAGCTGACAGCAACCGGTCTCTGCCGGCACAACGGCTCCGGCAGACCCAGCACGAGCAAGGTTTCCTGCTGGGGGGCCACGACACCAGGGTCATTATGACTTGGGGGTGTCACTTGCTCTGCTGTGGTGCCACAGCCCACCCAGACCACAGCAGCCTTGGGCTCAGCCTGGCTCACGCTGTCCCTCCAGCCCCCTCCAGGCACACAGCCCCAAGGGACACCCCACCTCCCTCCAACCGCCCCAGCAGGACTGTACCCCTAACCCAGTACTTCAGTTCCTCTCATGCAGCCATCCTGCTGCTCAACAAGGCCAAAACTGGGGGGAAGGTAAACAGAAAATGGCAGGTCAAGGACCAGGCCATCTGGTGCACTCTCCCAGCCAGATGGGAGAGCAAAATTTGTGTATAGGCACTAAGGCAGACTTAAGGGAGAAAAAAAGCAATGCATTTCCTTACTTTCTCGTGCATGGGACAGCTATGGCAAGAGCCGGCAGGCCCACAGGCTGGAAGGTGACACGCAGAATTTGATGCCGACTGAGGGATTAAATAGCATTAAAAACATAAACCGGGTCTGGCTGAATTGGACAAGTCAGCGCGTTTTCTACCATCCTTCTCAATATATGCATGCAAATCAAAACCAGCAGGAACACAGTTTTTATGTCTTAACCCTGTGGTCAGCTGAGCCTGTGACCCAGGGTAGCACAACGATGGTGCCTCCCCAGTTGTGTCGCTGCCATCTTCCAGCAGGGTCAAGCCAAGCTGGTCACCGCAGACATCCGAGAGCGGCTTTCTGGTCTGGGGTTGAAAGTTGGGGGCTTTTCCTTTCTTTAATTAACAAACTGCATTGATTTTTCCTTTTTTTTTTTTTCAAGTAGCATAGTAATGGAATAAGAGTGCGAAGTACAAGGCAAAACAAATTCAGCTCTAAAATATGAAGCTAGACAAGTTGTGCTGTACAAAGGAGGTTGGACACTTGCGAGGTTGAAATCAATAGTAGCTGCACTCAGTATGGCAGGATGGATAAACCAACCCCAAACCCTGCCTGCTCTTATTTCCACAGA